CAGAACAATTATGCCGAGGTTCATAGAAAGCCGTACGTGGAAGTTACTCTCAAAACCGTTGGAATTGATATTGGGAATTTTCCTTTCAATAAACTCATTTTTTAAAAAGAAACTCCGTATTTCTTACTGTCATTATCCTCTTCAGCTGAAAACTTTGACTCGATTAGCAGCGGGTGCGGGCAGCATAAGTACAGCGTAGTCTTCGCACCTAATTGAAGTCACTTCGCGCCTCGGTGCCAGGCGAGCTTGATTAGGTGCGATCGAAAAAATATTCCCGTACCCCATGAACAAGTGACATCACTTTCCCTACTGCTTTCCAACACTCTTTTTCGGATCTCGGTATGTTTCTTTTTTGACAGAACACTTGGCAAACGCTGCATGTTGAATTTTTTCTAATAATTCTTGCCTTTCCTGAATTGAATCTGTGCATCGCACAATAAGAGGACGTTCCATCCACTGCCAATAGGTCTAGTTTGTCCTATTCATTAAGCTACTCACTCCTTACCTTTGCCTTTCCCTCAGCTTCTAGGCTACCCTAAAATCAAATTAAGAAGTTTGTTATTGAAACTCTTCATTGCAGTGTATATCACGCCCACTTCGAATATGCTCTGTATCATGCATGCCCTCGCCACCCATCAAATGGAGCGAACCGTATACAACAATAGCACTTTTGATCGTAGGCTAGCGAGACCTTGAAAACACCTACCTACGAGGACATTTGTGACCACATGGAAGTTCGGTATCACAGATCTCCATGCATCCACCCTCCGGTGATTTAGTAGCAAATTCGGTTGGGTGCCCAATGCTCTTCAAAATAGGAAATAAACAGACAACTTTCAGTAATTCACGTAGGAAAGGATATGAGCAAAATAACTACCTGAACATTGCCATGACGAACACAGCGAATGGGCAATAATGAACCACCAAATCTCTTCTTGTACATATCGAGGCCTAGTTTGCGCCAAAACGATGAGCAATCCGCCAAATAGGTAAGGTTCCCAATAACATACATGCCATGACGCGCCCGAGTTAATGCAACCGTAATACGATTCTCCACCTAAATTCTAATGCATCACTGGACTACCCTAGTTCGAAACCAGAACAAACACTGCTACAAAAATCCTCGAGGAAATAACCCCAAAACTTACGGCTAGGAATCCGATTCCTTCCATTAACGATCGTACCAGAGACACAATTACAATACGATTTTCCTTAAAAAAAGATAAGGCACACACAAAACAAGATCACGATGGATGTTTACAAACACATAAGTTGATGCCTAATCACTTTTCATGTTCAAAAGCACAGTTCGCGAAAAAAAAATGGCTCTTATGGTTTCTTCCCAGGATTTCCCTGAGGTCCTCAAGTGTAACACAAAGGACTAAAAACTAAATAGATAGAGCAGAATAAGCCCCATTATCGGATTAGTTGAAGTCCACGCCCATCGACTGATGGTATGTCAGACGAGTGTCCAGGAGATACAGTTTGCGCTATTCGACCCAGGACCCTGTACGTTTAACATGCAGTCAGCTGCTAGAGGAGTGGTGAGGGGCTGTATTACTGTCATTCTGTTATTATCTGTTAATCTTTCTGCTGCTACCGTCATTATTGTACCTTGGAAATGGAAAAAGGAATTATTTTCGCTGTTAATCGTGTTTTTGTTAACTTATGCTAGTATTAGGTTGATGCATAATTATTGCGGATTTTTTCGCTTTTTTTTTCTCTCGTTAGAATTTGAATATTGAGTTCGGCTTTTCTCTAGAAATGATCTACTTGATTTCTCTACAGGAATATACTCTAAAAACCATCTGCATATTCGCGAAGTCAGGCTTAACTACTTCGAGAAAGATTGGAAGGTGGCACAGTCATTCCGCGATCTCAGTAACTTTTCGGCGATCGAACAATCAGCCAGAGCCAACCAAGAAATGTGGTCTGCCCCTAAATCTGCCATATTCACCAGCAAAAACTTTTATGGATTATCTCGTCAATCGTTCATCGAAAAAAATTGCTGGAGAGTAGAAGTTACGTCGATTTGGATGACTTGATGGCCGATGTCAAGGAGTGGATCGCTCGTAAGGATCAAAACTTCTTCGCTTTTTGGATCCGATTAACTAATCAAGGGGAACAGTGTTTGACGTAGATTGTAATTAAGTTCCGGAGTAATTATTTGAATATGTCTTTGCTTAGTATTTCTACAGTGTCTTTGAGTAAAATTTGCTGGAAAAAATCCGCATTAATTGTGCAGCTAATATAGAATACTGTAATATATAGAGGCAGGTAAAATGCAGGGGAAATAGAAAATATCAAAATAATCGTGTTTTGACCACCAGGAAGTCATGTGTACTTTCACTAGATCCCTAATGAACGATCGCCGAAAAGTTACTGAATGACTGTGCCACCTTCCAATCCTNGAACAGTGTTTGACGTAGATTGTAATTAAGTTCCGGAGTAATTATTTGAATATGTCTTTGCTTAGTATTTCTACAGTGTCTTTGAGTAAAATTTGCTGGAAAAAATCCGCATTAATTGTGCAGCTAATATAGAATACTGTAATATATGGAGGCAGGTAAAATGCAGGGGAAATAGAAAATATCAAAATAATCGTGTTTGACCACCAGGAAGTCATGTGTACTTTCACTAGATCCCTAATGAACGATCGCCGAAAAGTTACTGAATGACTGTGCCACCTTCCAATCCTTCACGAAGTAGTAAAGCCTAATTTTGCGAATATGCGGATGGTTTTTTGAGAATAATCTTGTAGAGGGAATCAAGTAGATCATTTCTAGGAGAAACCCTAACTCAGTATTCAAATTCTACCGAGAGAAAAAAAGCCAAGAAAAAATCCGCAATAATTATGCATCAACCTAACAATTATGAATGTATTGAACGAACGTTTCGGCTTACTGTAGTCAGCTGTACGCAATGACATACATTGTATAACTCGTACAAACACCCCTCCTACTCCATCTTATCTTATTCTCGCCCAGCTCCGCTTTTTACTTTTTTGAAGCATTTCGTCTCATCGGAAACGCCGACTTTCGTGCATATTCGCCTCACCGTACGTTTCTCAACCTCTTCCATTTTTCGTCCTGATCTGGATAGCCCAGTTACGTGAACTGTGCCTTTGATTTTCACGAGAATAGATTCTCGTTTACCGAATGAAAAATTCTTAAACCAAGACAATACCCAGGTTTAGGGGTCACAAATTTGCAAAACGTAATGCATCCTTCAACTTGATTCCATAAACAGTAACAATGAAACAATTGTAATCAAAGATAGCAAATATAAAGAATAAAAAAATTAAAAAAAAAACAAAAACAAAAAACAAATATAAAAATATATTATAAATATACGGTACCAAGATTTTCGAACGTGAACAACTGCGACAAGTGTACCTTTCCTTGAAAGCCGTCAACAGTCTCCACAGCTACCGATGGCTGGTCGTCAGCCGTTCGACCAAACTTAGTAATAACCGCTTCTCGCATTGCAATTTGCTGTGCCGAATAGGCCGTAATGATTGTTATCTAAAACGGCACCATGAATAAACACCTTTCTAACCATAATAGAAGGATAGGGTTGCCTGGCCTCAGCCTTAAACCCGAAAGAACTTCCCCCCCCCCCCCCCGTGGGTATAGAAAGATATTCTCACCTCATGAGACTGTATTCCTTGTTTTTGCAGGTATGCAACTAGTTCAACAACTATATTCACCTGAAGGGAAAATGAGACGTCAAAATATCTCAAAGTAGAGAAGGAAACTTTCATGTATCAGTTTAATACAAATACCAACTTCATGAGCGTTGCTCCTCGATAGTGCATCAACAGGTGTCGTTTCTGGTTCTTCATGCATCCAGAAGAAGCATTTCTTATCCATACCTGGCACATCCGGATATGCTAGCACTGTGTCATCATCAGCAACACTGGGAAATAAATAATTAATAAATAAAATCTAGAGCACAAAGTGGAGAGAGAACGTCTAGTAGGATAACCTTTCAGAGCTAAATATCATTTCAGAGATGCATTTACCTAGGATAGAAATATGGTCTGATAATATTGGTCGTTATGTCTGTATTCATTCGATGTTGCACCCCAAGTGTTTTGTAGGGGTGTCCATTCTTCACCAACCTCTCGAACATTGAAATGTCCATATTGTACTCGTAAGCTAATTCATACACAGCTGAAATATACGGTATGCAACGAAGAACAGTCGAACCCAACCAGCCCTTCTTCTACTTGCCAAGAAGTAGATTTCAGAAACTGTAAATGATGGTTTACGACTCAGTTCTTTGCCACTACTCACTTTCTTAACAACCTCTGAATTGATATTCATGAAAGCGACTTATGGCTGTGACCTATACAATTCTCTAATTTCGAGGAAAGCAAATTATTACCCTCCGAAATAGATTCCGTATATGTTTACTACACCAAACGCACCAGGAGAAGGTCTCAACTGCTGGTGATCACCAATAAATACTACGTGCTCGACTGTCGGTAACAAGGATGCCAAAGTATGAGCTTCTAGAATCTGAAACACATCTATCAAACAACAGCGGAACATCTCACTCAAACATGTCTGAAGAACATCGTGCTGAAGCTTCTGTTCTTTTTGTTAGGATATGTTGGGATGTGAGAATTGGTTTTAGGTAATGGGGCTGAGGTGAGATCAATTTTGAAGAATGCACGGATTGAGACACAGTAAGCCTAAGCAAGCTTATATCCTTCCGCGATTAGATGATGGTACATCCTTGCTCCCTGGAACAAAAAGAATGACATCAAAGCAGTCGAATCGTAACCCTTGTAATCCTGAATGGAGGTCGAATCGAGCGCGCATTTGTGAAAGTTTCAATGAAGTTTGAAATTAACAGCTAATATTTCCTGTGAACATGAGCCGAAGTCTTTTCAAATTTAGCAAAAAAAACTATCCAAAGGTCGAGCTAACCAAAAGCTTTACGTTTAACTTCTGTAGGGCATAGAAAACCGTACTGAAACTTTTTTTTCAAACTAATGTCAGCCAAGCACAACAGCAATTGCGGAAGTGCATTTATTTGCGTTGGCTCCCTTCTTTAAAATTAGCTATCGGAAGAGAGAAATGTTTATAAACTCGTGGTTCACGAATATTTTCTGGTTACCGTATCTTCAGGCAAGTCGCAGAAAAAATGGATTTATTATTAAACTGGGAATTATTAACATCGTTCACATACCCAAGCGGCCTCCTCCACAAGGACCACGGGACAACGCAATCTTTCCAGCAACCCTCGCTCTTTCGCCGCACCGGTCGTTGTAGCAAAAACAACCTCATACGTACAAATTATTACAACGAACCATACCCTTACATTTTCTTAAATGTTGAAGACATACCAGGCAATGTCGCAACACTTCAGCATGACATTCATTTCGTACCCTTTTCACTGTCTCACATTCCGCACGATAGTCGTCCATTAGGCGAGGCAATAGCTGCCGAGCACAATCCCTCTGAACAAAATGAAACTTGAAAAAGTCAAACGTGTGGAAAAATATTTCATTCGAATCTGTCAATTAATGAACTACAAGTATCAATAACCTCAACCGATACCATGATTGCTATACAAGGATTACAAACCAGTTGCTGCATCCACAACATGTACAGCTCCCACCGCCGCTGTTTACTCAGGGAGAAAACGTATTTCACATCAGTGGCTTCTTGTAGAGACATGGGTTTCACCTGAAGTGGACCACGAAACTCTCTCATGGCAACTACTCAAACTAGAAACTATCGAAATAAGTTGATACCCGAACGATTGCATCTCTAGCTTCAGTGCATTCATGGACTAATGTTTTGTCTACCGGCCTCTGGAATTTGTTAAAGGACAGCACTATTTAATGAAGTATATAATTTTGGAAAAGTTTGGGTCATTCTAGAAAAGTGACCCTCATCGAAAAAATACACTGACTTTCGTTCTTTCGTTCGTCGAGTTCTTGCATGAGTAGCCTTCTGAGCGGTTACTGAGAAGAGTGACATCTTTTTCGACAGGACCAATTTTCACTTCATCTCTTTTCGCCATTTTCTTCAATATATCCCATTTCCGTTCTGTAAGGAAGACTTCATCGCCTGCCTCGTCATCGTTGACGGCTTGCTGCTGAAATAAGCCTTTTTATAACACCCATAACCTGTCAGTCTATCCCTGGTGAAAAGTCGAAGAATTGGAAATTCCCTCAAGTGATCGATAGGAGGAAACAGCAAAATAGTTCAGTAGCTTGTGATGAATAAGAAGATCTTATGTGAACTCACATTTACAACCTCGAGAAGACTGTCGAGTGTGTCAGCTCCGTCGGCTTCATCTTCCTTGAAGAACAAAAATGAAAATACTAAATGAATTGAATTATAGCGAATGAAATCCTATCATGCTAGGCCGAGATTAATCAGTGCTGAGGAGTAAATCAAAAAAAGGAAGACTTAAAATTTTTGAACGCACTGTGCTATCACTCATATCTTCTTCTTCGTCTTCTTCCAACTCATCAACATCATCTTCCGTTAAGTCGTTCCCACAAGTATCAGCGGTGTAGACCTTTTCCAAAAGCCAGCAAGCCAGAGTCTCATCATCCTGCAATTGTTATTTATTATCTCTCTATATATAAAGCTGTAACATAGTGTGTCTGTTTGTATGCCCATTTGTGTGCCCTTCCAAAGGTTACGTGGGCACGATAAAGAGTGTGAATGTCATTGAGCGCGGTGAGGAGACAGTTATGAAATGGGAAGTTAACCGATACTGTTCATATTGGCCCTCTAACAACCTCTAACAAGTCGTAGGTAAGCGGTAGTGGGCATGTGGTGCACGCGTAAGCGTGCGTAGCCCAACTGGAACTTGCAAATTTCGGACAGACCACTCAACATTAACGGTGGAAAAATTAGTGGAAAAGTTACAGTATACGTGCATCGAGTTTGTTGCCAGAAGAATCGCAGTGCGTTGCTTGCCATGCGCGAAATTCACGTCGGAATGATTCAGAAATGACATTATAGTTCGTCAACACTCGATAGCTGGCAAGATTCCTGAATGATCCAATTCGGCCTTCTCCCAAAAAAGCAAAGAACTCACAAAAAGTGGGAACGAATTTATGTGAACAATTGGAGTAGCTCGAATTGGCAGAAGGACGGTAACAAAGTCATGTCTCAATCAACCAAACCTCTTGAACATGTAGAGGATGAAGCTGGCTTCTGCTAATCGTCGGCCAGCATCCCTCAGTCTCTTCATCGCACTGTTGAATTCGTCAGTGAGGCACTCCGAGTTTAGCTCCTTGTGATCTTGTACTAAGTCTGTTCTCATACAGCCTGCCCTTAAATGTATTAATTTTATCCTTATACTATGTATAAACTACAAATGCTGTTTGTTTGTATGACTGTCTGTTTGTAACCGCCTTCCATGGTGCCTTCTTAAAAGGGAACTGGAGTAACTGGAGTAGCTCAGCCAGGCTGGCGCAAGTGGGAATGACAAAAGCTATCTGAGAACACACGGCTTACGCTGAGCTCCGCCCATCAGGGGCGGGGCTGGCGTTTTATCCAAATGCTGTTCTCCCGGGCATTGAGTGTTGAAATATGGAAGGGATGCAGATGGCAAGATGGAAACACTAACAGCAGGTCACAGGTGTAGGCGCTGCTCTTGAGAACAGGGTTGCGCGAAATTCCTCCCCCACCCTCCCCCCTCTCAGAGCTAGAGCGTTCGAATTTGGAAGGGGTACAAGCATCAAGATGGAAACGCCATTGGCAGGTGTGGGCTCTGCCTCCTGGGGACGAGGGTGTGGAAATCGCAAGCTTAGACCTGGAAACTTCAAATTTGGAAGGTGTAGTGAATGCAGAATCGTCAATCCTATCTAGAGGCCTTTAAGATTATGTAACATCACTCGCAGCTTTGCACCCTTCAGTCAGTTCAGTGATACGATTCACTCTGAGGAGGAAATGTAGGTGGAGAGGGGAGGGGGATGTTGGCCAATACACCGACATGCCATCTTTTGCGCAATTGTCGGATCAACTGCAGCTTTGTTCCCTTAAGTTGTACAATGCTCCGAGAAGGTCTAAGAGATGTGGTGGGAATATAGCTGTAAAGGTAGCGATCAATTGTAGCAACCAATTTTGGCCAGTGCAGTTTTGTGCTACCCGATATGGAAATACTACCAACTAATTCTTCTCAAGAATAAAGGATGGAGTTATGTTGGGACTAAGTGAAGCATTTCAACCTTAACATAAGAAGGAAGAGAGCCCCGCGTTAGCCCCGCTGATCCGACTGGATATCGATAAAATCAAACGAGTCGGAAACCAACTCCTATCAATATGTAGCTGTAACCACATGGGAAAGAAAAAAGTGAAAGGTCGCAACAGGGCAAATGCCTAATCCATTGTGCTTTGCAACCACATAAATCTGAACACGCCATAACAGAGATGTTTCTCGAGGAAATCCCACCTCATTCCCACCGCACCGACAAATAGTGGGTGCAGGAGCAAGATTTGCGCGATTCGAAGATTACTCGTCGAAGAGTGCGCCAGATGATATTTACATAACATCTGTCAAAAGTATAAGCGTTGCCCTATTCTTTTTAAGCTTACAGCAACCGGCTATGAGAAGACAAAAATCCAAGGGCAGTTCTCATGATAAGCGCGTGAAAACATTGTTACAGCTTTACACTTACACTTTATTACGAAATCAATTCATATTCGAATGTCGTGGCCTGATTGAACTGTTCCTTCGTCATACTCCTCCAGTTTTTCCGATCTTCTTCGACAATTCATCGCGCCGTCGAATACAATGAAGTCTTCGCCTTCTTCGGTCCACCTAGTCATATGGGATCCATGTTGTAATCACGCGAGCCCATACGAAAGCTATACCGCGGTAGGCAGCTTGGGCACCGGAGTGGAATCGAATCATACCTGACGGTAATTCATAGCTTCCGTTGCGCGGTATCCTGGATTCTGTTACTCCGAGTATATCGGATTTGATCTTCTCCATAGCGTTGGCGAGTTCGATTTGGCGTGCTGCTGTTGAAATAAATCAGCTGTTTATTGTTCCGATGTAGAGACGTCCGATACGGTACAACACTACCTCTAATTATCCTACTTACTATAAAGCGCTTCGTCTGTCGTCTGTCGTCTACCGTTATGTATATCAGTCACGATATTCCTTAGCTCCTTTAGATCTACCTGGAGAGACCGGGTCAAGCGCGAGATGGGTGAGCCATGTCGCGAGAAGTATAAAGCAC